AAATTTGAATCTTTTGTTTTTAATATTTAGGCTTTTATTTGGAATAGGGATAATCGCTTTACTGTTTGTTGTTTGCTTCCGTCATTCGAAGTTGCCTGTACCATGCGTTTTGGTGTTGTGTACTAATTGTTGTGATACTGGACTTACCACCACTTGCATCCAAATCCGCCTATCCTTTGCCTATGTCCTTTTGTAAAACACTTCTGTGAAAATATGGCTCATATTTGCAAATTGCATTTCTTTGCCGTCTGTTTGATTATGTAGATATGGAAAAATAATTTCAAATTAACTTCCTTAACCTTCATCCTTTTAATTTGTATAATTCAAAGCAACATTATTTCTACTAACTTATTATTGAATGTTGACCTCCAGCCGTAATAATACGTTACAGTTGGAGGTTCTCATTTATTTGTGTGTATAAATATATTTGCTTTGCATTATATGAAATCCAATACAACTCCATACAAAGTGGTGTTCGACAAATCTCCCCTCGTAACTGCATTATAATTTTGGTGACTTCAAATTGTAATTACTTATGGTTTGAGGAATCCAGTCCCTCTTTCTTCTTCTGTATTTCTTCTTCTATAATTTCATCTATTTACATTTAGTTTCTTTTCAACTCTTAGTTAGTAGTTACATCCAATTTTTATTTTAAAATCCCCCCCACACTAAAACAGAGGTAAGAAGCATGTCCAAAAGTAAGTACGTCGTCGTAATTGTCGTTTAGTTATGTGGTAAAAAGTTTTATATGTGCTTATTGCATGAACATTCGCATACAAAAATATATAATCTATACGACCTACAAGATCCAGACTACTCAAATTATTATTCATTACTTATAATGATCTTAGTGCACATGTTTGTTAAAGAGTTAAGCTAAAGAATACATTTTTCGATTAATTCAATCTTTTTTGTTCTCAAAGATTTCATTATAATTTTTTCGAGCACCCACATTGTAAATCAACTCTTATTTTCATTTCAATAGAGTTACTAAACCAGTAAAAAGCCTTAATTTATTAATTTTCCAAGATTCCAAAATATATTAACCATTATGAAATATTGCTTGTTTTCTAAGTTTTTCTCTATTTTAAGAGCATTACTTTTTAATCATATAATGACACATCAATTTCAATGTATCCAAGCTACAAATTCACTAGACTAAAGAGTTTATATTCATATTCTTCACATCAATCCTTCTGTGAATTTGCTCCACCAAAATCTATCACATTTTTATAAAACATACTGTCGTCTCTTTCTTTACCACTGAAAATATTGAGATAGCAATATGTTTTGTTTGGCTCTATGGACAGTTAAATTCCACATTTAAATTTCATAACTCCTGTAGTAACTAGCAATTAGCTAGCCAGCTTTATTCTCCTTTGGCTAATAAGATATAATAATCTTCTAAAATGTCACAGAAAGTGAATCTAGTGGTAACGGTGGTCGACTACGATCGCATCGGTACTTCGGAGCCCATTGGCAAGGTGGTGCTGGGCTACAACGCGTCGGGCACAGAGCTGCGTCACTGGTCAGACATGCTGGCTAGCCCGCGGCGACCCATCGCCCAATGGCACACCCTCAAGGACCCTGATGATGGAGAGAAGAAGGATTAAGAGCACCAAGGTCAGTTGAAACGGAACACACAATACAGATTAACATGACCATTTTAAATAATCCTAATCTGTTCATTCTAAAATTTTTCAGTTCTAATTTCAAATTTCTAATTTGTATTGTTTCGTTTTCATGTCATCGCAATAATAAAGACGGTCAGGATGTTTAAGGCTAAGAGGTTAAATGTACTTTTGCTGTAATTCCAGACCCACGGAGCAGCATCATTTCACGGATGGACGAGTTTGGAGATCGGAGTATAAACGCCTTATCATTTATCAACCTATTGACTGTACCAATTTTGTTAACCTTCCTAAAGTATTTTCAAAGGTTTGACGTAGATAGTAGGCTTCGAATATTTAAACAGAGTAAGCTAAATATTTGTTACCGCTTAATATGACAGAATTAAAAGATCTTATATCTAAATAAATAAATATCTTTCCTGATATCTTGTTATAAATGTTTGCGCAACAATGAAAATATTTGAATATGTATCGTGCTGTTCCCTACCTCGGGAGACTTTATTGTTTATAATTTTTAACTTATTTTTGTCATTTATTTTTTAAGATATATTAACATCTTAATAAGTATAAAAAATCATAACAGATTAATTTATCGTTTGAATAATAAAGACAAGTATTTTTTTCTTGATGTTTAGGTCCAAGAGTTTTTATGAGAAAATGTAAAAATTGATTATGTTAAAAATCGCTTTAATTTATAACATCTAGAAGAAGTATTATTGTAATTATTTTAATTTGGAATTCATTCCTTTCTAAATATTTATCTGGTTTAACCTTCATAACGTGAGTCAACGTAATCACGATAAAAGCGTATTTTATCATAAAAATACATATAAAAAACCGCTATGTAAATAAGTTAAATCCTGTTAAATTTATTACATTCTATTTTACTATAAGTGTTATAGTATTGATACCTTTTAGTATAAATACAGCGTTCCTCCAAAGAAGACGGATGGTTTGTGTAGTTGGCATATGTATTGTAGGTTGATGTTAGCACTTGTTCGATTTGAGTCCTATGTGATTTGCTCTAATATTTTCTTTGGAGGAATTGTAGGCCTACTATGTACTTAGTTCCACTTTCTAAACATGACATAATGATTCTCAATATCTTTTTATTCGCGGTGAATTTTCATATTATTTATTTACACGAATATCAAATGAATTCGTACATTAAAATAACATCAAAGCTAGTCCAATTTATACGAGAGATGATATTTAACTCGATAAATTTTATGATAAATCATTTTTTTTTTGTTTTAATAACATAATACATTCTTGGGACTATGATAATAATTTATAGACTGCCGATAGTCTTGTCAAAATATTAGTCAAAAAAAGTACCAATTAAAGTTTTTTATTGGATTCATTCAATCGCCATCAAATATATTATTAACAAATTAATAAATAAAACATGTCTTTATTACATTGGTGTGAATAAAATAGGTAGCAGTTGAAATAAAAGCATCATTAGCTATTGCTTGTATGTTGTTGATCTGATGCCTATATGTTACTGTGTATATAATGTAATCACATGTTAAAATTAAACAAACACATATACCACATAGAGGTAGGTAAGTTGGAACGAAAGAGTATATAGGATTGCACCACCACGAGCATGTAGAAGATTGTTCAAATATATAAAGCTATGTATAAAATTAAATTGTTAGTTTGTATATTTCTTACGATGTTATCTAATTCAACGTATATGAATCTATTTTTATGTATGCTTCTTGTAAACTAATTAAATATTTTCATAATTTGTTGAATTAGAAATCATTATAGTAATGTTTAATAAACCTCGAAATGTCCCTTAAACGTTCGAGTTTCTGTAGCATTGACAATAGACATTCAAAATGCTATTTACATTATTATAACTTATATAAATTTCTTAATATTAAGATAAAGTGAATGTGAATTCATTATACATTATATTGTTGAAGTCTTTAATCTATTAAATACCTTCCTCGTCATACTTTGTTATGTTAGTGTTTGATAAAACGGCTCAATATTCATTCTGGTATAATGTATTGAGAAAAACTAATAATTAATTAATCCTATTTGAAAATTTATATACTCATAATCGAGCCTTGATTATAATTTCTACATAATATTCAAGAAAAAAAATTGAAAACAAATTTGATAATTTTTCTAAAATCATTCTTTTACTTGGCAAATAACGTGAATATATTAAATATAATATAAACAATACTCATTAAGAAATAAGTAAATTTATACTTGAAATATATTAAATGCCAGCACTAGCTTGATCCACTTTTAAACAGAATTGTACATTCCTAAGCATTAATAATAGCAAAGAAATCATGCAATTTGATTTTTTTTTTATTTTTTAACTTTATCAAATGTATATAACATATGTATATTAGTGCAAAATTCATATCACTTGCCTCATATGAAAAGTTCTGATTAGTATATTACAAATTTTATTTAGAAATACATAAACTGTTATAATTTTGATTAGTCTAAAACAATATATTATGTAACTAAAAAGAATGTCTATAATACATAATGATATAGATATGTAGTTTTATTTTTATTATCTGTATCATCAGCTATCTCTATTAACGATAAAAAAAACAGTTTTAATCAAAGATTATTTTATTACACATGCATAAAAAATTGAGTTTGTTGCACATAAATAGTCAGAATAATATTGCATTTACAATTTAATTGTGAAAAAAACACAACTATTCTATATATAATACTTCTTAAAAATATATATTTTATAAAAATAATCATATGAAGATTACACTTATTCATAAAGTGTGTCTAAGTTCATAATTGATATATGTAGATAAAATAATAAGCAATGTTAATCTATTTTTTTACTTATTAAAGTATTTAGTGTTTGTGTAAAGGTAATCAAATTATATTAGGGCTAAGAATGACAAATTTTGAAAGGATATTACAATTTACTTGCATATAAACATTTCTTAGGCTCCTATTTACTTACAGAATTGGACTTGGATAAATATATTTTTAAAATATCAAAAAACAACTTTAAAAGTTTCCAAACATACAGTTCAACTATCATCATAGTATCTACGCTTCATTGTTCTGTATTTTTTCAATTTATATAGTGCTTCAATTTCTTTAACTACAAATTCTCCATGCTTAATCATAATTTCTATTTTCTTAGGATCAGTTTCCTCACTATTTCTTGAAAAAACTTTGTGTAGTCTTTTTCTGAAGAGGTCATAACCTTGAGGCCAATCTCGACCTAAATACAGGAGCTGAAAAAAATATTAAGATTACTCAATGTGTGCTCTTCTAATGTAACAAATCATAAAATTTTCGATTTTGTTAATACTTACAGTTTTGTAAAGATTAATAACAGATTTCCTGTGACTCGACATGGTTCAGAGTCCAAATAAAGACAGCTTACGAGCAGATAATGTCAATTTTTTTAATACATTTATATGAAATACATATTATGTTGATATTATAACTGCTATATAAAACAATGCATATGCAGTGCAGGTGCTGACGAAATATTGTTCGTCATTTATGTTGACATTTGTTGTTATCACTTCACTATGGATTCTCCTATAAGCTGATAAAATCGTAAACAATGTCTTCTGTATCACGATAACTCAAGTTCATGTAAGATAAATTTATCTGAAATCACATTTTCATGTTTTAAACCTTATATCCTACAATTTAATTGGTAATTGATAAACAGGATCATTATTTTAAAATAATTAGTTCCTCAAAGAGTAAACAAATTTTAAATATCAACTGTCACTGTCAAAGTCATATTAACTTATCATCAGTCTATAAACAAGGTTAGGAAGAGCACAACAATCAAATAAAATAAATTCTCTAAATCTCTAAATGAGCGCTCCACGTCTCCGACTTCAGGCTTTGTATTTGATTTGTGATGAATAGGTACTTCCTCTTATTATTTATAGCCTTTGCAGTTTTTGAGAAGCTCCATAAAAAATCCCTGGACTTATAATTGTATTGCCAACATTAAATACAAAAAATTATAATCATGTTGCTAAGTAACAAAATAATTGGAAATTGTTGATAATCGATTGTTATTATTGGTGAAGCTGATGGTTTTCTTCTAATTTATCGGATCTATAATGGCAGACGAAGAAGAACCAGGTCAAACTGGCGAAGGTAAGCGTTAAGGCAAGACAGCAGAATCTCAACTAATATTTTTTGTAAGGTATAATAATTTACCAAAGTTTTGATTAGCATATTACAGTGCCATATGACAGTAACAACTCTGATCATTTTAAATAATTTAACGTAGTTATTACCGAATAAAGAAATATTATCCATACTGTTGACTGTTAAAGGTATTCAAAGATTCTTTTTAAATAGAGCAACTAGAGGAAGGTGAGTTGGAGCATCATGACGAAGAAGCAGTAGAAGAAGAACAAGAACCAGAAGAATCAGTTTTGACGGAGTATGATCCTGATGACTTTGTATCAGGCGCTATCAATAGCTTGGATTCTACAATTCCTCTAGATTTCTTAGAATTTGAGTATCCTTTTAATGCCTATTTCCCCATAGCGCTAGACGCATGGACCTGACTGCGCGCTGGTTTATTTTGTATATCACACGCGGACGTTCCAATGAAAACTATAACATGCGACTGCGTATAAAATGAGCGCTTGAAATTAATTATTTTTGCTAATTCTTTTCTCCAGTTTTTCCTTAATCTAAATAAAGATATTCTTTCGGTTATAACTGTCTGAAGTACTTCAATTTATGTGCGTGCGATGAAACAGTAATTTGTTGGTCAGCTGGTAGTATTATAACTTTTATGGACGTCAAAACTAAACAAACTTGGTTTCGTAGAAGTACTACAGGGGGCTCTGTTGGCAATATTACGGTAATATTTCTTTCTTTTAATTCCAATTGCAGTAATCATTTATGACTGTACCACAATTTTAATCATTTACGAAATTGACTTCTTGCAAGACAAGTAGGTATTAAAACATACTTTGTCTTCTTAAGAAAAATGTGTTGAAAATGACCTGCCAAGCGCTGGCTGAAAAGTCATTGGAGGTGTATATTGACCTGCCGCTGCACTAGATTACTTTATAATTTCAGTCTTACAGAGTAGATCCCAACTACCGTATAGCAATAGCAGAAGGCAGAGAGGGTGACCGCGACCCCTTGATACTGCTTTACACATGGCCGCAAATGGAGATTGATGCCGTTTTACGTGATGGAACAACTAATGCTTACTCCATTATGGACTTTAGGTATTTTTGTATCATAAATAAGAATAATACAATTAATTATTATAAAGGTGGCAAATAGCTATTACTCGTAACAATAGATTTTGAATATGTCAGCCGAGTTGGAAATGGAACCTGTTAATCGGGTTTTTTGTCTCGGTCTCCATATTAAATAATAATTACTTTCAAGTTAATTTGGTCCTGAAAATTTAATACACTCGTCCAACTTTTGGTCTTTTTTTTCGTAACAATGAACTAGTTTTAATTCTTCGATACAAAAAATAATAATATCACAGCCCAGATGGAGAGCTGTTAGCGTCCGTGGGCAAAGAACCTGATTACAATTTGACCATATGGAACTGGAAGAAACATAAAATTCTTTTAAGAACTAGTGCTTTCTCTTTCGATGTCAATGCTGCTATGTTTTCCAAATATTGTCCAGGACAATTAACGACGGCAGGTAAGTTTAATATAATCATATGTATTGAAATAAAACTTAAAAAATCCTACAAAAGATTTGTTTTGTTATTATTTATTTATCAGGGGCAGCACATATAAAGTTTTGGAAAATGGCGGAAACATTTACGGGACTCAAACTAAAGGGAGACCTTGGTAGATTTGGTAAGACAGAAATTTGCGACGTCTTAGGCGTACATCCTATGCCAGATGAAAAGGTAATGTCTTCCAATACTATTTAGTAATGTGATAAAAATTGTTTTTAAGATAAACGTATTACATAATAGAAAAATATCGACAGCGAGAAATCTGATTTTGTTTTTTTGGTCGTATTTAAGTGACGTTTAGTTTAGTTAAAATAAAAACGAAGAACACGTCTACCTTCTAGGTGTTGTCCGGGTGTGAATGGGGTAACATTCTAGTTTGGGAAGCTGGACTGGTGAAGTTGGAAGTAACACAACGTGGTCGGAAGACTTGTCATAAAGCGCCTGTTGTAAGTTTTGTTCATACACGATATTTGTAAGGAAGCATACCTATTAATACCTTCTTATGTTTGTAACCTTATTATATGATTCAGATTCAATTCATGCTAAGTCCTGCGGGTGACGAGGTGACGACGATCGCTCGGGACGGTTGCGTTCGCGCCTGGTATTGGGACACTGTGGAACAAGCCGACCCGCCGGAGGACGACCCTTTTGTAGAACTCAATCCTGTTGCTGAAACTTGTGTAAGAACATCGAAACGAACATGTATTGGTCGTGATGTCTTTTATTTTCCTCTTCGTTATACCACCGTTACTTTTGATCAGACTTTGGTCCTCCAACTGCATTGATAACACCATAGTATTGACAGCTTTTTTATAATCCTGCATGAGAGTCATAAATATCAAATATAACTTAGAAAATTGTTTCAAAATATTTATAGGTACCAGGCTGTCAGATCATGTGTCTTAAACATCAAAAGGACATGTATTGGTATGCACAGGTAAAGGATAAAATTATTAATGTTTCAACTTAAACTTAGCCGTTATTCATTCCTAGTTTACATGTTATACATTCTCTCAGGATGGTAATGGTGGTATATGGACCGTGGATATAGAAATAGATAAAATCGAATGCAATCATAATAAAATATCGACGTACCACTCTGGAGAAGTGATTGCGATGGTGGCTCTCCGCTTGCATCCCATACTCCTCACTGTGGGCTGCGACGGCGCTCTGCAGGCCTACAGCACAGAGACCCAGATGTTGTTGGCCAGGTATCAATTCCCGACTGCTGTCACTTGCATGCTGTATCCGCCGCATGAGGTGAGTTACAATTTAGTATCTACTAATTTCACGAAGAACAATTTTCAGTAAAGTTTTGAAATATTCTTGACAATGTTCCTTATAAGAAGGTGATTTGCTTAGTTCTAGAACTACTCTACTACCACAACTCTACTCGTTTGAAAACTATGCCATCGTCAACATTTCCATACATTTATGACCTGAATTCATTATGGCCTTCAAGAATAGGGTACTTTGAAGAGAATAGGCATTTACTAAGCTATTGCTATTTCGACTACATCAAATGTGTGGTCAAGCGCTAGATTATTAATTTAAAAAGAAACTTACTAAATATTTTATTTTATCCAGGTTGATCCTAGTGCGAGAATAGTTTTAATCGGATTTGCGGACGGAGTGATGCGAACTCTATTGATACATCCAGATATATTGCAAACCGCGACCGCCCTCATCGACGTACGGATTCATTCTGCGCTGACCATACACAGCGAGGATTCCTTAAACCCTGATGCACTGGATCTGATTTCGGTACACTTAACAAATGTTCGATTTAAAAATATCAAATCTCCATTACGCTATTGTGGTGTAAGGCGGCCAGCTGTTTGGTAGACCATAATATAATTAAATTCAAGTTTATACTTTAAAAGTTTATACTTATAAAGTTTATATTACCGTATGTTTTCTTTTAATGATATTTACGACTTGGTGGTTTCTTACAGTTGCTTAAGCCACATTCCAAATCTTTAACGCAAATAACGATCAATCATCAAAACACGTTGCTGGTCACCAGCGGACAAGACAGTACAATATTTATGTACGAATTGAAAGCTGGTACACCCTTTACTTTGAACAGATTAGGATTTATAACAACCCCTAGTAACGTAACGTATATGACTTGGAAACCAGACGAGGTATGTACTAACTTGCTAGCTGTTGCTCGCAACATAGTCAGTGTGGATTTAAAAAAATGTGATACAAACATACTTAAGCTACTTTCCAACAAAATCTCTTCAAAATCGACTTAACGGTATCAGAGATTTCCTGGAACAAACGCGGTCTGATAGATGAAATTATGCACGAAATATAATTTGTTTTATCAAGTATCTCAAGTAATGAGCCTTGTTTTAGGAAAGAGTATTACTTTTGTGTGGACCAGTTGGTTTTTTAATGGAAGTAGTTTTACCGGACGCAAAAGTTCAAAAATATTCTGAGATAACAACATTCAAATTAGAATTTGTATCTTCTAAACAAACCCAAGTTAAGAAACATTTGTAAGTAAAAAAAGGCTTATAAAAGGCAAATTTCTGATGTATTGCATTTCAATTTTAATTATTTTTATGAGGTTAATACAGTTGATTTTATAAATTAGCATGCGTCACCGCCCTTTCCCTCAAGAAGAAGACCTGGCCAGTATTGATGAGGAAGCATTAAAAGCTAAAGAAGAAGCAGAAAAAGAAAAGGACGATGAAGAAGAAGAATGGATAGGAGAAATTCAACTAAGTAAGACTTAAAACTTTAATGCCAACCAATGTTATAATAAAAACTTCGTTATTTATCGATTTTAATTGTCATATTAGTTGAAGATGAAACAATAGCTGGCACAACACTAACATGGGCAGCGTATTGCGAGGAGGGAGTATGGACAGTGCAGCATGATACTGGAGCCTTGCTGCTTGTAAGACCTGGTCTTAGTAAAATATTCAAATACGGGCCCATACCTGAAGCGTGGACTGAAGACATTACTACTTTGAAATTTATGTACGTTGTTTTTTTTTAATTATAGTTATCTGTTTTAAGAACGTAAGATTCTGTTCATCACAGTGATATAAAAAGTCCAGGCAAGGGGTAAGGGACCTTCAAAAATTTTATTTTACAATTTAGTTTCTTAAACAATTTCCAGATGCGATGGTGCCTATTTAATGATAGGCACCAATACTGGCTACATCCGAGTCATGAGAATGCCCGGGGAAGATGAAGACAATGAGGATTACCACTACATGACTTGGAAAATGGCTCAACAAAAACTTTTGCGTAAACTTAAAGGCAGACGACTCGCTAAAGAAGAGGTTTATACAATCTACATGTCTTTAAAACTGGCAATCTAAATATGAGCTAAAATAGTGACATTAAATTCTATTTTCAGACTCAACCAACGCCGCGTATTGATTTCAATGACTATTACTACTTACCCATGCATGATTTCTACACTGGTGCTATAACTTGCATCGAGATCAGTGCAGATGGAAGGTTTCATAGTATTTTCTACTATTGCATCGATTTTAGTCGCTTTCTTAATAATAACTCTTATCAATTTCAGCCGACTATTTACGTGTGGAAAAGACGGAAATATTTTTTCGTATACAATCAGTTTTCCAGAGCCGTTGATACCCAAGTTTGAATTAAAACCAGCAGAACTTCCAGTAAGTGTTCAATGCAAACCTTTCACGGTCGTATAATCCTAATCTATTGATGTAATTTATAATAATTATCTTTATTCAACAGAAAGTACCAAAGATGAAAGAGCCCAGTACTATAGACGGAGAACTGATGTCTCATGAACAACTGAAGCAGAAGGAAGAATACGATAAGAAAATGGCGATAGCCAATGCACACAAGAAGCAAGTTCGTGATCAACTCGCTGAACTTACTGTTGAATATAATAAACTCATCAAAGCGTTAGTACAATATTATATTTATAAAAAGCAACAAAATCACAATAACTATTTCGAGACGTTGCACAATTCTGGTTCAATTTGATCCTACAAAAAATATATTATTTTTTTGGTTTTTAGGAATAAGGCTCTACCACATTCTCAACAAATCGACGTCACTCTAGATCCTCGGCCACTTATAGAACAAGAGAAAGAGCTAGATGAAGCCAAAGCATTGACAAAAAGAAAACTCGCTCATCAGTTGGAGGCTTCTGACTTAGGTTATCAGAAAATGTACACACGAAACATAATACAACTTGATGTATTTCCCTTTACACTTAAAGCCATCAGGTAAAATCTCTTTACTAATTTTAAATAAACTTTAAAAACAAATATTGGATTGGATTGTAATAAATCTTAAGTAAACAGGGATCCGAACATCATGCTAAGACCACTGCGACAGAAGAATCTTTCCAAAGCATTTTACGAACAGTTTGACGAAGTGCATCAGAAAATGGCCGAAGCAGCTTTACGAGGAAGGTAAGTGAAACTAGCAACATTAAATGAATTCTTCTAAAACATTATTAATCATTCTTCTCTTACATGCGAACCTTAGGAATATGAATTTATTGGCATTATCGGATATAGAATTAAAGTAAGTAAGAGGTGGCATGGAATTTTCAAAGGAAATTTTGACAATTAACACCTTCAAGAAATTGAGTGATTTGTTTGTTGCACTGATTTCGCACATCGCACTGGATGGGGGACGTTATTGTTTATTTTTATTGAAAATACGCTACTCTCTATATTTCTTTGCAAATATTTTACTGTGTGGTTTCTCTTTTATAATTGTCACGCTGATCTGTCTTTGCAAATTGTTCTAAAATGTTATAAAATATTTCAATATTTATTATAATTTTGAGCTGTTCTTGCTAAGACTTAATAATTTTTTAAGTTTAATTATTTTTGGCATGATTCTGATCTACGATTTAAATATATATATTTTTTTTAATAATGTATGCCGTTTCCTAACATTTCTTTATGTTAATATTGCATAGACGGGCGGAATCCATCGCACGTCGAGTTATTTCTAAGAAAGCCTCTTGGGGTCCTCCGCGAGTGGCTTCTTTTTTACTAGGACTACCGCCTCGTGCACCACATCCATTGAAAAAAGCCATTAGGAATTATTACAAGCGCTTAAACCGTCATCATCTACAATTTATTGAGGTATATTTTTTTATTAGACTTTGATTACATAAGTAAGATGTGTTTTAGAATTTGTTACAAATTTAAACAGCATCGTTTTATGGTGTCTCCTTGATTTCACCACAATAATCTGTACCTCGTATAAAATTTGGCAAAGTGACAGCGGTAGTTTGGGGGTAGTCCCCTACTATATTTATTTTTCAAGAATAGCAGGCACCTTAAAGTAATCCGAGTTTTCATATTACTGATCCTTTGGTAGGGATGTACTTAAATTTAATGGGTGGGATTTTTATTTCTAGTGGCATGAGCATTCAGCTCGCAAGCCAGACCCGAATGCGATGCCTCCGGGCGCGGCTGAAGCTCTCAAAGAAGCGGAGGCAACCATCGGCAATAGATTGTTGAAGACTCAACCGGATTATGTCGCGCCGCCAGGTCACAACACGCAACTAAGAATATGCGCGACAAGAAAAGAGGTTTGAAATCCAGAAATATTAAGAAAAATTACTAATTAGTAGTAGCCAATATAAAAGTTGCTCTCAAGAAATAACTACTGCCAACTGGTGATTAGAGAATTATGAACAATACTTTTTCCTTTTTTAAATGTTATCTCTGATCCATCTAATTTAATACATCCAGATTCACGACAACAAGCATGAGTTCAATGAAAAGGTGCTCGAGTTGCGGCAGCACAAGATGCGATTAGTAGACCGCATGAAGTCTATTGGGGACAGACTGGGCGAGATCCGCTTGGAGATACCGCACAGCATGGTGAAGCATCCACCGCCAGTGCCTGTCATCGATGAAGCACTAGAATTTCCAGAAAAGAACTTAGAGGTAAGGCCAGTCTAGGTTTAAGGACTAAGATTTATTCGTAGTGTAGACGTTTGTAAAGACAGTTAACTAGTACTTGAAAATACTTGAAAATCTGTAATATGCTTGTGAAATTGGTTGATGAACATAAAGTTCTTGATATTTACTGTTCTGATGAGTGTGATATGGGATCGGAGAATCTGCAGTTAATTAAATTTAAATTCGATATTGTAGGACACTTTTTATATTTTCAGATTAAACCAGAAGTGACAGTGAAGCATCATATGACAATTACCAAGAAGATTCAACAAGAGAGAAGGAAGTCAATAGCTCCATCGCAACCGCGCGTGCGTCCATCACGCGTTGCAAGATTTGTACCCATAACAGGTTTTTCTATTTATTTGGCTCTAGATTTCCCTCTATTTCCAGCGACTTTTACAAAATACGAGAAAAAAAAAATTTTTTTTTGAACACAATTGGCGATTTGAAGGATTGTACTAAACTGAATTTAAGCTTATTTAATTTAAAAATCATATTTTTCCAGTAACACGACCGTTGGCTGCTTCGTGGGAGCTATTAAAAACAAAACAAGATCAAGAGACATCTGCAGTAGAAATAGAAATTAGGGAAAGACGTATCAAACGGTATTATCGTAAGAAATATACTTAATTTCCAGTTTTAGTCGTCTGACTCCATTATCATAATGATTTTTTTTTGTTTTGTAGACACCTTTACGAACAGGACATGTTACTGGCGGACGCCGCAGTTTCAATACAGCAGTTCGATTCCCGTCTGAGAGAACTACAAAGAGAGCGCATACGAGTACAAGTGTGTTAATTTTTTTATATTAGGAATGTAGGCTAAATTATCATGAAATATTTCTACATTTCCAACATAATAGTGACGTAGTTAATTTGTCAATCAATGTACGGCGAAAATTTTACTTTTGCTCAGGAAAAAAATCAACTTCTGGAGCTGCATTTATTTCAATTGCATCGTGAAATGAACGTTTTGAACCGTTTCGAAGCGCATGAAGACCGACTCGCCGAGCGCGTCTACGTCAAACTGATGCAGGCGAGTTAAGACAACTATATTAATATTATCCCCCTCATTATCTTCGAAAAAAACACAAATCAGAATGCCAGCTGCTAAGCACGAAGCCTGCTGAAACAAAGAGTATAGATAAAATTATAAACTTTGAAATTTGTTGTTGACACAGATCCGAGGAGTTCAGGAGCAGATCGAGGACTGCGAGCATCGTATCGATGAGCATTACACAGAGAAGGAAATGCTGGACGCCGCCTGCCAGGAAATACAGTCGCAGTTCAAGCGGCTGGTGCACGACAACAAGTTTGCTGATTTCTTGCGAAGGATCTTCAAGAAGAAATATCGGCCACCTCGCGACAGAGATGATGACGGTAACCTATGATTAGCCGTAGAAAAGATGGATTGTATTTCTAAATATTTAACATAACATTTGTTATATCTATTAAATAAACAAATATGTTAGAATCGTCGGAATCGGAGTCCGAGTCTTCATCAAGCGAGGAGGAAGATGACGCGAGTTTGGACAGCCGCGACATCGGCCCCATACGACTGGATCCCAACATCTGTCCAGAGGGCTGCGAAAAAGAGATCTATGACAAGACATATGAATTACGCAACACCAGGTTAAACCTTCAAATTAATTCTTACAAAATAAATCTTTCCAGATTTAACCTTAGACCGACGGACTGCAAAGTATTAAAATAATTGCTTCACTCACGTTTGTTAAATTGTCAGGCATCGACATGAGCAGGAAATGATAGAAAAAGACCGTCTCGTAGAGCTGCTGCGAAAGGACATCGAGGCTCACAACAAAGTGAAGCGCACCTTGACCATACAATTGGACAAGAGGAAGAACGACCTCAGAGAATTTATGGTGCGTTGTTTTTTACAAATATTATACTATTTGTCAATAAATTAATTTCATTGACAATATCTAATACCCCACATTGTTAAGGGCAACAAAAACTACATACTTAAGAGTAAAGCAAACAAGTTAGTGTTGCCGACTCGCCCGGCCTGGTTACTTGATATGAAAAACTCCTAATGGTACTGGGATGTTAAAAGTTCATTGCTTTTGAATAATTTGCTCAAAACGTTTATACAGATGGAGAAACAGAACTGCATGAACGAAGTAGACCAAGTAGTGGTGCTGCGGTACGACCAGCTGCGAGCGTCCGCCATCCGCGGCTGCACGGGGCCGCAGGGGCTGTCCAACACCGTCGTGTTCCCCGAGCGTCTGCTGCACAAGCTGCGTCAGCGCGTGCTCCGGGACGAGATCAAACAGCAAAGACAGAGACATAAGTAAGGCAATACGCAGGACGACATCGTTTCAAGCGAATGCAAAATAATACGTTACGTTAATTTCTTTAATCCTTAAGTTTTTAGCATGGCGTCCATTAGTCTAGAGCAGTCTTTCCCAAAGTGGGCGATAACGCCCCCTTGTGGGCGCTGCAGGTCTAAGTTGCGGGTTATAGTAAAAGTTTAAATATGTGAAAATATGGGGGCGCTAAAAATATTTATTCTCAAAGTGGGCAGTAGAAAAAATAAGTTTGGGAACCACTATACGCGGGCATATTATAAACTTTCTTCAACCATGCGCAGACATTTAAATTTTAAATTCATGGTATACCAGGATAAACCGCACACACCTGTTCCGTATGAACATTGATCTGAGAGCGATGGAGGAGCAGGCGAGCGAGCTGCGCGCCAAGATGCGCGACGTGCTGACCCGCAAGCTGGGCAAGCCGCGCCGCGTCGACCGCACGCTGGACGACCTGCTGCGTCAGATGGCGCGCCGACACAAGTTCACCTCCGCCGTCGGCACCATGCCGCAGATGCAGATGCAGATCCGTCAGTGGCATGTCAGTACACACACGACAATATTCTGCACCAATACATTTGTAATAAACTAATTATGAACAAGTTTGTAAGTTATCTGACCCGGTAGGCTTAAGTCTAACTAAATTATGAAAGCTCACTAGCGCCCCCCCTGTCAAGGTCAAAAAAATCATTGTCGTACTGTATAATATTATAGCTCCTAAGGATATTGAGAAATAATATAATAACTATGAAATTAAGTTTTTTATATGATACAGGAACGTCTCGGAGAATTGGAGAAAAAATATTTAAAAGAGTTGGACCACTATTCGGATCGTCTACGTCTAGCCTCAGCTTTACAAGCGGATATCTTGCCTCAGAAGGTTCATATTTTTGCTAGCGTAAAGAAAATTTTTAAGTAATCCACAAAGATCTCGCCCTTTTCATCAATATTACGCCAAAAATTAAATATTTGACATAAATTTCAAATGTATATTATATTACGTTATATTGTTTTCAGCCGTGTAAAGATCCAAACATAATGGTCGGTAATTACGAGCCGGAGCAATATCAACGAGATGTGGTCCGTCTACGAATAATTCGGTCTCAACAACTGCAGCAAATAGCGGTATTAATATTCACTGGAATTTATATGAAATTTAATTAATTACGTGATGAAAGATTTAACAAGGATATGACGTTAACACCATTGTCTTGTTTTTATAGGCCCTGAAAGAAGAGATAAAAAGTCTCCGTACAAAACCTTTCTCTCGGGAAGTTGGGCCCATGTGGAGAGCGCCGCCCCGCGAAGCTGACCAATCGGAGCTGCGTCTCAGTCCTATAAAACGTACCACCAGACACACCAAGAAGAAATATTTTCCAATGTAAGGTCTAACACTTTATCAGCCTATATTACTTTTTTGTGTAATTAAGCATTCAATATATCTAACTGCAGTTTTAGAAAATTTATTAGGTAATATCACAAAATGTGTTGCTAATCTTTGATTTGACCAAATCAATCTTCCCAGTTTTGTAATTGCCAATTCTTCTAGTACACTATATCTATTAAAAGTGAATAAGAAATACAATATAAATTTCCTTGCGTCTGTGGTCAGTACGCCGATAGGTTCGCAGACGCAGGTGGTGCAGGAAGTGAACGTGATGTCGTTACTGTACGACTGCCTGGACGCCATGCGCGTCACACGAGACGACGCCGACGAACTCCTCAAAGATCTCACCGACCAACTGCCTGACGTATTAGCTGGGTAAATAACCTAAGAAAAACATTATTACGAATACCAGTACGAGTAATAAGTAGCTATTAATTCGTGTTTGTTTCTTTCTAGAACAACGTCTCGCTTCGAAGTGATCGACTCGCTGGTTCGCAAATGGCTATTGAAACACGGCGGCGATCCGAGTCTTTATAAAAAACAGACCCGAGCCTTTGACGCCCTCGCCGCGCTGGCAGACCGCCTGATCAAAGAACATGCAAGTTTTATATCAACTTGCTTGTGCTTGTTATAAGTTGCGAGATCGTTAAAAATAAACTTGGTTACAAATCTTGCCGGTTGCCCATGATTTCGTTCGCCGTTTCGGTGATTACCGGGAACAGACAGACAGACAGACAACTAGATTCAAAATTGGATTTTATTAAGTTGTCTTTATATTACATACAGACACTCCAATTTTATTTGTTGTACATTTCTCAGATTGCAGCAATGGAAGGCACCGAACCAAAGGAATTGGAAGTAATGAAATCATTGGAAGATGCTTTAAGAGAAGTCTCGGATAAAGAGCAAAGTCTTCACAGACGGCTTGGGCCGGCACTCGCAGCGCTGATGCACACCACCGACATGGAGGAATTGGGTTACTTTTTACTTATAATAAGAATAAGAGTATTGTGACACAGCAAATATTATTTTAATCTCTAATGTGTACTTGCAGCTACTCAAGAGACCATGACGTTATTGGTCAATTCACTCATAGGAGGCGATCAAAGGCTCACCGCAGAATCTGTTGACCGTATTCAGCCCGATGACGTTATAGAAGACATTAGGGGTTAGTAAAAATACTTTGCTACCGCTATAATTTGCCATCAAATGTATTTGAGTAAATTCCTCGTTAGATATGATTGATCGGTTTAAATTAACGGACACTGAGAGAATAATTGTGTGAAACAGTGAAAACAAAAAATCCTTCTCAACGAGGAGCTTTTGTAATTAACTATGAAACTTAATGTTTACAGAATGTGGCGTTAGGGCTCCAATTACCGAACTAAGGAAGATTGTTAAATTAGCTATAGATTGTCTCCGCTCGCAGCTAATTGGACCCGAAGAAGCAAAGTTCTTAGATGCCGAAGTTGCTAAAGCATTATCTGTTGAATCTATTAGTAAAAAATGATGATAACAAAACGTATTTTTATTTCCAACCTCTTGTCTGCTTTTGTCTTATGTGTTAGCATGAATATTCTATGGAACATGTGGGAACAATGAATCCTAGGGGCCTATGATATAAGGGTGGCACGCAGCATGACCTCATGAAATTGTCAAAATGTTTTTAAAACCATACATAATATTAATGATTAATTTGAGGCTTTTGTAGTATGGCGTATGGCAGCACAAATTTTATATATAGTCTGTATATTTTATAATTATTATTTTTGTTGACAACACTAGCAGTCAGTTGAAAAAAAAAATTGCAATGAATATTTTGTTCTTTACGAAGACACCTAAGACTATTTAAATTGACAAAATTATTACTATTTTAATGCAAATCAATGTTATGACTAACAAATAATTGTGAGATATACGAAATATAATTTTTTATAATGCATAAGTTGTTACTACTTAAAATTTCGTGCTACATTCTTTCACACAGTGCCTTATAATGAGACTCCGTGGTTTATAGTAATTATGAAGAAGATTTATTTACGTATGCAGGTATAACGACCGTGAACGAATTTATGACAAGAAAAGTGAATGCAGTAAATAAGTACATGTCAAAATTATGCCATGTACGCTCCAGATCACCTCAGACGGAAAGAAGTCAGAGATGTTATGTACCGCAGCAATTCAAGTCTTGACTTGATATACACCGAGCATCCATCGGGAAATAGTTTACGGCGCGAGTATGGGAGTCATGGATCTATCGACGTAATAGGTGGGACCAGTGATAGACTACCAGCAATGGTGCATAATTACAGCGGCGTATCAACTCCGGACAAACAACCGGGGTTAGGTCGAGCCGATCGACTGGCAGAAGTATTGGCTAGCGATCATGCTGATGGACCGCCTCCCAGATCCAGTGTCAGTCCTAAGCCACGCCTTAAGCTGAATAAACTATGGGGTGGAGCTGCTCCTGTACTGTCTCGTCAACCTCTAGATGACGGCGCCCTCCCATCGACAGTCCCAGAGGAAGTGAAAAGAAAGCAATTTGCCCACTATGATTGTCAGTCTTTGATGGCTAATTTAAGTTATGCAGCAGAAATACGTGGTGCATTGTTGAGTAGACGTCGTAACACAACTACAGGGGCATCAGCAGCATCACTGTTAGCAACGCGTGGACTACCTCCAGGCGAGGATGCTGTACCAGATACAGGGGATGGAAGGTCTAACGAACTCTTAGAAAGTTGCCCCTTTTTTAGAAATGAATTAGGAGGTAAGTCTATGTACAGAGTAAAATCTGATTGCAAAATGTGTTGCTTTTTTGTTATAATTGCTACTTATCATCACTTTTATTGCATGAACATAGTAGTTCTTATTCAGCACATTCTTTATCAATGACTCATAGAACTGGTTCCTGTCAACCAGATTTGTGCACCTAACAAAGCAGTTTCGAAGTCAATACATAGGAAATATGTCCTTTAAATCCTGGAATAATGACATAATCACATTGTAAATATTTTTTTTTAATCTGTAAAATTACATAGCCAGCAATAATATCATATTATAAATTGCAAACATGCTGGTATGTGTTAAAATTCATATCAATCATTTTTGTTTAGGTGAAGAAGAGCGCTGTATATCCCTGTGCTCACGAACTGCCCGTGGAGCAATACCAGGTCAATATGGAGGATGGCATCGACCCCGTGCTGCTTATGGCTTCTCAGTATTAGAATTTCCACCCGGACATACACATTGGCGGCAAGGTTGTCCTTTTGCAAGATCTCTCGCACCATTGCCTGTAGAAAGTCAAGATCTAGGGGCATTATATTATAGGAACTACTTTTACACTCAACGTAAGTTTTACTTCTATATCATAATCTCATTTAACATATTAAATATTATGCAGCAGTGAAGCATTAATTACAGTGTAAAATTATTGGACAATAAATAATTTTAAATGCTGTCGATCATCATCATAATCAGCCTAGATTTATGCACTGCTGGTTGTAGGCCTCTCCCATTGATTGCTACAATGCCCAAGTGTAAATCTGTGTATCTAATTTCATGCCTTATATCTAAACCATTACAGCATATTATGACTTTTTTCTAAAACATTACAGCACATCAGAATTGGTTTGGAATGGAGGAAAATATAGGACCTGTAGCTATATCTATAAAAAAAGAACGGGTTGAGTTACGTCGTGGCGGTGGAGATGCATTGGCTCCTGCTTCTCAGTTGGCCTGGCACTATCGTGTCATTGTACGCACTGCAGAATTACTCACAATACGAGGCTCCGTGCTAGAAGATGCTTTACCTACTGTCAAACCAAGCAATAATAGTGCCACCTACAATACCAAAGATGTCTTGGAATACATAGCTCCCGAAATACAACTCAGCTGTTTAAGGTAAATTAAAGTAACACTACGACTTTCTATTTGTCTAATATTACTTAATAGTACTTAATGAATTTTAAAAAATTAGATTAAAATTAATAATGTAACTTATTTATTTCAGGCTGGGCATTACAAACAGTGGTGCTGAAGAACAATTACTACGTTTAGATGAACAATGTGTGACTAGACACTACAAAGTTGGTGTAATGTATTGCAAAAGTGGACAGTCCACCGAAGAAGAAATGTATAACAACCAAGAAGCCGGTCCAGCATTTGTAGAATTCTTACAAATGTTAGGACAGACTGTAAGATTAAAAGACTTTGATAAATACAAGGCTGGATTGGACAATAGGACTGATTCAACAGGCTTGTACTCAGTGTACACTACATACCAGGGCTGTGAAATCATGTTTCATGTGTCTACAATGCTACCGTACACACCTAATAATAGACAGCAATTGTTAAGAAAAAGACACATTGGCAATGATATAGTAACAATTGTCTTCCAAGAACCTGGAGCTGCACCATTTACACCGAGAAATATAAGATCTCAGTTCCAACATGTTTTTGTAGTTGTAAGAGTTATAGATCCGTGTACAGAAAATACACATTATAGTATAGCTGTGAGCCGAGCGAAAGAAGTGCCTTTATTTGGACCCCCCATCAAAGATGGTGCTGTTTACCCTAAGGGTGATGCGTTTACTGATTTATTACTAAGCAAGGTAAGTCAATATACTCAAGCAATCTTACTATATTATAAATGTGAACTTTAAATGAGAGAATGGATGGATGTTTGTTAAAAAGTAACTCCGGAATGGCTACGACGATGTGGATGAAATTTATCACAGATGAAGAATGTAATCTGGAAGAACTAACAATATTGTATGAAAATAGGCTACTTATAAAGATTTTTTCATTCCACTCGGATTGAGCCATATTTTAGTCATAAAATGTATATTATTATCTTGTAATTACTTATTGCTTGTTGTATTTTACAGGTGATAAATGGTGAGAATGCAGCTATACAGTCTCCCAAGTTTAGCACAATGGCGACGCGCACACGTCAAGAGTACCTGAAAGATTTAGCTAAGAACTATGTTACCGCAACAACAGTTGAAACTGGACAAAAATTCTGTATGTACTATTTTTCTTTCTGAAGTCTAATGCTTATGAACCTAATGTTAGAGAATCGCACTCTTACTAATATTATAAATGCGAATGTTTAGATGGATGGATGGATATTTGAAGGTATCTCCGGAACAGCCGAACAGATCTTGATGAAATTTGGCATACATATACAATAGTCTAGAAGAACACTTAGCCTACTTATTTTTATTAACAATTGTTTAATTACTAATTAATTAATTTTCAACATTATAGCAATATTCTCATCATTGCTGATGAAAAGTGGAAATAATTCAAATAGCAGTACAGTTATCCCACGTCTTGATAATTGCACCAATGATGTTTTGGTGAGAGGAGCATTGTGCTTTCATGTAAGTGAAACCATATAATATATAATAATAATGTCTTATACCCTAGCAAATACATTTTTTACACTACAGATTTGATGATACTTTATATTTACACTATTTTTATCAATATAAGGTAAAATAAATCTTTTGTTTTATAATCAGGTTCAAGTACAAGATGAGGGCGCTGGTGGCAATCTGCTCGACTGCATAATGGGCGTGTCTGCTGACAGTATAGTACTTATAGAGGACAGTTCCAGACAGATTGTGTTGGTACTACCAACGAATACACTGCTTGGTATGATTATCTCGCTCTTTCTGCATGTATTTTATATATTCTGTTGCATTCGTTCATTCGCGATCTCTTGTAGGCCAAATTATCCGACAAATTTTAAAGAATGAAGTGTGATTAGATTCGTAAAATTCAGAGTGTGTTGGAGGTACCATTGACCGGACATAATTTTTTAACACATTCATTGTAACCATGGCAGTACATTGCTGAAAACTACTAATCGCTAAGTACCGCATAAAATGGAGAAACTCTCAACGACAGATGGTCAAAAGGGCGAGGTCGCGAAACTTAGGAATGAGGGAACAGTGCAAAGAGAGAGAGAGAGAGAGTGAAGTAACTAAATATTATTTAAATCAGGTTGGGTGGTGAGCGGTGGCTGGAGCCGTGTGTACTACCACCGCGGTGAGAGCGTGCGCATGCGTGGCGCACCCGAAGCGCTGTTGCGTCGGCTGGCCAGCGTGGCCCCGCCCCACGCCCACAATCTGCACGAGATCACTCTCGAGCGCGGACAGGCGGCGCAACTAGGTATTGCCATATTACAATGCAAAATATAGACAAACTGTACATCGTTCACTATAGACATACTGCAAATTTCTTTTTAACTGTATCGTGCAGGTTTTCACGTGCAGCCAGACGGTCTGGTGACAGCGGTGGAAGGTGGGGGGTGCGCGGCGCGGGCGGGGGTGCGGCGTGGGGCGCGGCTGCTGGAGGTGTGCCGCGCTGCTGTCGTAGCGCTGCATCATGACCAACTCGTTGACCTGCTCAAGACTTCAGACCCTGTCACGGTTGGTACACTACCATACTCCTTAAGCATTAAAGAAGTATGAGATCGGCAGTAATTGTAAGGTTCGCCATACC